GGCTATTTATGAAACCCAATGAGAAAAAAAAGAAAGATTTGTACGACTGTACTTGAACAGGATCTGTTCCTTAGGCAGTACAATCTCCTTTTTTTTTTTCTTTTTTTTTTTTAAACAGGGCCTTATGGTCCTGGCTCCATTTCCATTCCGGGGAGCATCAGTCCGGTTCCTATTCCACAGGCAAGTCAGAAAGGTTTACAAAAGATACACACGCTCCTCCCCGTTATGGTTGAGAGGCTGAAGTGGCCGGCATTGATTACTTCCTGGAGGAAGGATGTACCGTCCCTCACCCCTGCCTAAGTTAGGCTGATGATATATTTTGTCCTGGGGTACTAGACTGGCGATCTCTCTATCTGTCTGCCGACTGCGATGCGTCCATGACGTTCCGGACAAGCTAGTTCCTCTCAGCTGTTTGCCTGTCAGGATTTACTTTAGGTCCTGAAACTGCTAGCCTGATTTTTGCTAACAATCTTTTAATCTTTAGCCCATAGCTGTCATAATTTAGTAATTAGTATTTACCAGTTCTTAGAAAATGTAATTCTTGTGCTGTTCTTCAGCCCTAAACCCTAAACCCTAAACCCTCTTCTTCTCTCGATTTGAGCTGTGTATCCTTCCTTTCTCTCGGCAGACTGTTTTCACTGGTACTTTCCTCTGAGCTACCCCCATCTCTGTTTTTTTGCACCAATCCAGTGGTAAAGAAAAAAAGGACTGGAGCTGTCTCTTATACACATCTAGATGTGTATAAGAGACAGCCCTAAACCCTCTTCTTCTCTCGATTTGAGCTGTGTATCCTTCCTTTCTCTCGGCAGACTGTTTTCACTGGTACTTTCCTCTGAGCTACCCCCATCTCTGTTTTTTTGCACCAATCCAGTGGTAAAGAAAAAAAGGACTGGAGAATGCTGACGGACCAGAACAGGAGAACAGTTGCACCTCTGAGAGGACCCATAACTCTTAAAGTCCGTGGCAGAACCTCTAGATCCAGTTTACCCCTCGTCTGTTCCCTGGCGGATGTTACGGATCTATGTCCCGCCTTGTGTTCCCTTGCTCTCCCCCTTGTGTCTGGCTCCCTCGGGGGCGTCCTTTGTGTCGTTCCTGTTCCTGACCACTACTATCTCCACCTTGATCGCTTGGATTGTTTGACAAGCGACCCCATTTGTATAGCAGTCTCTGTCGTTCTATCGTTGCCACCTTCCCTTGTCCCAGAACTGCTTGGGTAAATTTTTTGATGAGCGCCTGGGCATCCGCTGGGTTGTGCTTTATCTTTCTCTTCATCCTGTTCAATTGTGCTCTGATGTCTGCTTCTGGCAGAGGCCTCTTAGGATCTTTTTTGCTTCCTGGGTAGGCCATTGGGTGTTTCCGATCGTGTGTTGACACCTTCTCTTCCCAATTCTCCAAATGCCATATTGTCGAAAGCGCCTTTTCTCGAAGCGTTGGAAGCGCCTTTTCTCAAAGGTTGGAAGCGCCTTTTCTCAAAGGTTGTCCATTTGGCTGGAGGAGCATTCCCTGTCAGTATCAGGGCTGTGTCCTCTGGGAACGGGGTTTGCAAGACCTCAGCCCAGAACTCCTTTGCCATTCGCCATATTTGCTGCGCGTTGTGGCACTCCATGAGACAATGGCTCTCATTGTTTATCTTGCGCCCTCTCCGTACAGACCTTGTATAGTCCATTGCTCGGGTCCCTGTGCTCCTTGCTTCTCCTCGCTGTTCGCCAAGTGTTGACAGGGAGTGCTACATATAGAATCAGCCATTGCAAGCCTTTTACTCTTCCCAGTCGGATAGTTTGCAGTTGGGACCAAGGTATGCCCGGTGGCTGTGACAGGGTTACCTCCATCTTGTCCTTCCATTGCTTTATCGGCATCTCTTCCATTGGGTGTGACCTTCTCCTCAGTCTGTAACCTAGTCGAGTTGTGTACTGTAGCACGTTAACCCTTCGGGATATGTTCGACAGCAAAAAAAAAAGAAAAAAAAAGTGGTTATTTCCAGTGCCACACACGGGCAGGTTCCGTGCGTTGTGCGGCGCACCGCACCTTACGGCGGTGCGTCTCGTGCGGTTGCATGCTGAAAATCAATAATGCAAATGAATTGGATCTTCCTTCCCTCTTTACCTCCGGGTTTCTCTCCACCAACTCGCCACCTCAGCAATGCAAATCTCTCCCTGAAAGTCACCGACGAAGTTTCTCGGACCGTACCTGCTGTGGCGCCCAACCTCCAGCATCAATGCTGGCTCTCCTTCTACAACGTTCTGTGGTGATCAGTGCTGCACCAGTATCACCAGCATCCACGTAAGACAAGGTAAGCTTCCCACACTCTCACTCTCTCTCTCCATTCGCAGTCCTGATCACCCTCCCTGCTCTGTCTCCCTCTCTCCTACAGCCATGGCGGAATAGCGCTCTTCCTAGCAATGACCATCTCTACCACTCTCTCTCTCTCTCTCTCTCTCTCTCTCTCTCTCTCTCTCTCTCTCTCTCTCTCTCTCTCTCTTCCGAGGCTGGCGTTGTCTTCCTCTCCCTGGCGCCAGACTCGCTCTCATCTCTACCTCGCCGGGCAGCACTTGAGCCACCAGAACATGCAAGGCAGAATGAATGAGCCACAGGGCTTCCCACTCTTTTATAGTGTTGACCGGCCTTGGCTTGCCTCATCCATTGGCCCAGATTTTCTTGATCTGAATGGCCCAGATTTGCTGTCGGCCTCAATGTGCCTGGTTCCACTAGACCCTTGAATATTTCGGAACAAATGGCGACAGCCTTTGATTGTTCATCTGATCTATGGCCGTGGTTGACTACTGAGAAATCTTTGACGCTTGGTCTGCTTTCCCGAGTTGGGCCTGACTCTTGATTTTCCTAGAGTCAACTGCCTCATGTAGGGCCACAGGTTGCCTGATTTGACTGTGGTGACCCCTATACCCCTTGACCCTAGGACTTTTCTGAGACCTCTCTATAGCAAGAGATGCAACCTTTTGACCCCCGAGTCTTGACTTGAACCAAAAGTGACGACTACGACTCAAGACATTGCGGATTTGAACTGAGTTCACAGAGGGATGTACCACTGCTCCACCATGACCCGTCTTCATGGCATTCATTGTGTCCTCACGGAAGGATCGACTGACAGGTTTCACCCTGCGGGGTTTTAATCTCCGTGCTACCGGCTCCTTCGTAGCGCCTGTGGTTTGATGCCAAGCTGCAGGTAATGGACGCTGGTCACCTGTGAAACCCTGGCCGTTCTCCGTTTCCAAGGGCCCTTCCTGTTGGCAGGGCCAGCTAAATCGGATCCCTCATCTTTCCACTCTGCCATTCCTATCCGCTCCCAGTGATTTGAGGTGGAATTCGTTCTGAAAGTCTTGTGCTTTCCGTCGATGTTCTTCTTGACCTTCCCATAGTTGGCCCAGTACTCTGGCTCCAGCAGGAGGGGGAGCCCCTCCATGCTTTGTGGATTGGTTGCTGTTTCCTGTCTATCGCCTCTGGGCATCTTCCTTTCCATATGATTCAGAGCGCCAGGGGTCTCACTCTCTGAAAGAGCTAGCCTTGATACATCTCCATGTGCGTCATGGCGGTGAATCCCGTGAGGACCGTGAACGGCTGACTCAGGAAGGGTACTCCGGTCACTGCTTGCCACAGGGCTGTTACTTTGCACCAGACTTGGCGCGCCTTTGGAAACGCAATCAGGGAGTGTGTGATATCCGCTGCTTTGCCTGTCTCACATATGGCATAGGCTTCTGCTCTTGTTCATCCATTGGTTCACAGGCAGTGGGAGGTATGTGATCAGCCATTGCATACTTCTGACGCACGTGTAACGTCTCCCGGGGGATGTCTGGCAGCCCAGCGAGGTCGGTGTCCGTCTACTTTGCCCACCTGTGAGCAATTATATACCGCACGGCGACCGATCTCCGTGTCAGCGTGTATCCTAGTCTCGAGGTGTACTGCAGGTGGTTGAATCTCTGGCCTGCCACACCCCGGGAGCCGCTGGAGCTTCCATGCCCACTCAGAGACGTTCTTGCATGCACTCCCTCTCATGCCCTCCCATGCCCTACTATGCCTCTTTCCCCCAAATGAAAACCAATATCCCCTCATGTCTCTCTTGCTCTTTCCAGGCGTGCAAAACCCTCCCAATATTCCTCCCTGCCCCTTGGTCTCTAAACCTTGCAGAGCTCTCTCTCTCTCTCTCTCTCTCTCTCTCTCTCTCTCTCTCTCTCTCTCTCTCTCTCTCTCACACACACACACACACACACACACATACACACACACAGCGCCTCGCCACAGCCCTGTCTCTTATACACATCTAGATGTGTATAAGAGACAGCTCTCTCTCTCTGTCTGTGTGTGTGTGTGTGTGGGTAGAGCTGTCAGCCAGAGAGGGTGAGCGAGAGACATACCTGTTGAGACAGCGGCCACAGTTCCCCAGGTGTGCCTACGGGAGACTGAATTTGCGAGCAAATTTCAAAGTCTTCTGATAACGTGTTGGTGTTGAAGCATTGTGTGAAGAAGTGTGGATTGATGGTTGAGCAACAAGCAGTGTGAACCTGTGGGATCAATGCAGAATGGTAGATCCTCCACGAGTTCACCGTGGAAGTGCCTGAGGCGCCAGTGAAATCTTGCTGAATTATGATCTGGCTTTTCTGGCAGATCATTTGTTGCCAGAGAATGGCAGTCGATTGCATGAAATGTTGCCTCAGGATGGCTCAGATTTCAGTGTCCAAGTCTGGAATAGCCATTGTCAAAATCTGCCGGATAAAATCTAATGAAGTTCATGTACAAATTTGCAACACACGAAGGGCTTTCTCTCCCATTTTGGTGATTGAAATGTGCGGTGAATGGCTCTGTTGAGCAGTAGTAATGCACTTGGTCAGATGAACTTGGAGCTGAAGTTTTTTTTTTTTTTTTTTTTTTTTTGTGACCGTAGATTTCCTAACCTGATGTCTCAATGAACATTGGCGGGCGTTGTTTTTTTTTCTGATGAGATTCTCCATGCCATCGAACATCTTTCTGCCGTTTGATGTTTTTTTCAGATTGCACTGAAGATTGTCCGAATGGAGATGGAACTGAAACAGGAGGAGGAGGCCACATCAGAGCCTGTACAGGATATGGCAGTAGCAGTGGAAGGCTCCACTGCAGAGATCTCCCCCTCGTCCCCTTCTTCATCAGTTCCTATTCAGGACAAAAGTGAAATAGTGGATTCTGCAGCCCATCTGGGCGATGGCGAAGAGAAAGCTTCAGCATCAAATGAAGGAGCAGACGACGAGAGTGGAGAGAAGGACGCCGTGCCTGCAACGGAGAAAATAGTCATCGATGAGAAAAACCTCTCGGATTACGTTGGCAATCCTGTCTTCCAGAATGAGAGACTGTACGACCAAACCCCTGTTGGAGTGGTCATGGGTCTGGCGTGGACGGCGATGGGCGGCTCGACACTGTACGTAGAGACGAGTGTGGTGGAGAGAGGCGAAGGAAAGGCTGGCATTATGACGACAGGTAAGGAAGCGGATGCCGTCTTGCCAATGCTGAACCCCCCCCCCCCCCCCCCCCCTCTTGACTTATTCTTCTTTGCTTGGAAATTGTGCCTGCTGTAGGGTTGATTCCGTTGGCCCAGGCTGGGCCTGTCCCATGTTGCCAGCGCAGAGGGCTGGAGTGTCTTGATCTGAAGGCTTCAGGTTTTGTTGCTGCTTGAGTGTGCCTTGACATAGCAAAGTGCCCGTTGGAATGTAATACGGACATGCAGAAAGCACAGTAGTGACTGCACAGCTTGTATCTGGGCACAGTGGTGGCTACACTGGCGCTTGTTGGGATGTATATGGACATGCGGAAAGAACACCGGTGATGGTACAGCGTGTCTCATATTGCTGCCTCAAAGGGCTGGAACGTCTTGATCTGAAGGCTYGAGGTTTTGTTGCTGCCTGAGTGTGCCTTGACGTAGCAGAGTGCCTGTTGGAATGTATACGGACATGCAGAAAGCACACTAGTGACTGCACAGCTTGTATCTGGGCATAGTGGTGGCTGCACTGGCGCCTGTTGGGATGTATATGGACATGCGGAAAGAACACTGGTGACGGCACAGCTTGTCTCATATTGCCGCCTCAAAGGGCTGGAACGTCTTGATCTGAAGGCTGCAGGTTTTGTCGCTGCCTGAGTGTGCCTTGACCTAGCAGACTTCGGATGCTTCCGGAAACTGTTCGAGCCTTTGGACGTCGTGTGTGATCGATGGTCGCGGTCGACTCCTGTAAAATCGTCTAACTTTTTACTCGTGGATCCGGTAAACTGTTCGAGCCTTTTTACGCGTGCCGACTGTTGACCTTCCTAGAGCCTACTATTGTATTCTAGAGGCACTGGGTACCTGGATGATATAGCCTGTCCTTGCTGAAGGACTGCAGTCATCAGGCAATACCTGGGGATTCTGTCGACGTGTTCTTTAGGTACTGGCCTGATTGGAAAACCCTCCACTTGTTCATGTTGAAAATGCTGAAGGACTGCGAGTCGGGGCCGGCAGGGGGGAGTGCGGTGCGGGTGAAGGGAGGGGTGACAAGTCACCTACAGCGGGGGCTCCCAAAACTGTGTAATGACTGCAAAGTGCCTGTTGGTATGTCTATGGACATGATGAAAGGTAGGTGAAGATCATGCACCTCGCTCCTTGTATGTCTGCAAACATTGTGACAGCCACTGACAGGGGTTTCACAGTTATCAAATTACCATCATTTTTTTTTAGGGTACCTTGTCATTTGTTATCTTTTCTGTAGTCATGGCACCTTCGCTTAGTTTTTTTGCGCGAAAAAGGGTCTGAGCTATTGAGTTCTGTATGATGTCTGGCGGGTGACATGAACAGACCTTTTGCGCGTTAATCAAACTTGCCTCCGCGGACCCGACAGCATTGTAAAGAACTAAAAATCCTGATTCTTTTTTTTTTTTTTTTCCTTTTTTTTATTCCCTGGTGCAATCAGACTTGTTCTCAAACACACTTTTCATGCATGTAAACAGCAACGCAGCATACTGGCGACATACGCCCACTCAAAAATCAGATATATGGCTTTCAGATACGAGTTCACTCTCAATTGGCTATGGCGACTTCAGCGCCCAAACATCTCACTGTTCACATACACTGGATCACCCTGGATATCCCACACGCATCACTCTAACACTCGAACACACACACANTCTCTCTCTCTCTCTCTCTCTCTCTCTCTCTCTCTCTCTCTCTCTCTCTCTCTCTGTGTGTCTGTGTGTGTGTGTGTGTGTGCGTGTGTGTGTGTGTGTGTGTGTGTGTGTGTTGCGTGTGTGGGTGTGGCTGTGGGTGTGGCTGTGGGTGCAGTACTATCTGATCTGGGTCGATTTGTACGTCCCTTGGTGCATTACAATGTGGGCTTGGGTTTGGTTCTGAGAGGGTTGTGTGCAGTGTTGGTAGTGAGGTGAGTATTACGTTTTCCAGGTGCAGTGCCATGTGGGCTGTGTGCAGTATTATGTGGGATGGATACAGTACTATCCGGGCTGGGAGTGGTATTGTGTGGGATGGGTGCCATACTATGTGGTGAGGCTCATGCCTTGTTTTCAACAGGGCCTGTGGAGAATTTTGTACTGCAATATGTAGAAGTTCGATCTGCAGCAGCTACGACTAACCTATCCGTTGGAAGGCTTTTCGCTCCACACTCCAGAAGTCTCCTCGCCGTTCACCCCATGTTTCTTCTTCTCCCCCTCCTCGCTTTGCTGCCATGTCCTTTTGTTGCTGTGCAGCTGTTTCCCTCTCTAACTGAAGAAGTTCTTTATGAATCTGGACATGGACTAACTAGTTGGGAAGAAAACAAAGAATTATAGAAAGTGGAAAAGTACATAAGCAACCGACTTGACGCTCCCAAAATAGAAGGGGCTGTGTTTTTGTTTTGTTTTTTTTTGAAGGAAAAAAAAAGGTGGAAGAGTACACTGGAGCCTATGCATGCATAACATGAGATCTTGAAATTGCGGGTTCCAGAATCAACTACTACGTGGAAAGCGGGTCCAGCATCCCATACCCGTTTTCCAGCAGGTGATGCTCCCCACCAACAGATGGAGCCTCTCCCCAGGTGCTAGCAATGTCTGCGCTAAACAGCATCGCTAGCACTGGTGAGTCTGTTTTTTTTTGGGGAAAAATAAAGATAAAAAAAATCAACTACTACGTTACTCTCTCGAAGCTGCCCCTCGTACTGAGGAACTATCTGAGGTGCCGTCTGCATTAGCTCAATGCGATCAATCCATCTGTCCTCCTCATCATCAGGGCACTGGGCAGTACTTCAATTTGACTCTGTAGATGATGTTGGGTCTTTCTCTTCGTTGTGACACCAGCCTTTACTCCACGATTCTATCAATGTCCGCATATCCATGCATGGTGGGAGCGTGCATCTTCCTTCTGCCGGCAAGTTTTGAGGGTTTTGAAGGCATCAATTTGGAATTTTGGAGGTATGAAACACAAGATAAATCTTCGGATGCGGAGGTATGTCCAGGGTAAGAAGGTCCATCTGCATCACCACCAACATCATGCAAGGTCCGGAGTGGGGGCCACTTAGGCAGAGGTTTTCTGCAAACACCTTCGTCAACTGCGAACTCGGTCATGCTCACCCATACCAGGTCTCCTATCAGCAGCTCAAGCACCCTCCTAGGACGGTGGAGTTCACCATACAGTTTGCTGACGAACTCCGACGAGTTATCAGGAGTATGCAAAAGGCACAACAGGCAATTGCAGGATCACCGCTCCTGCAATTGCCTGTAATGCCTTTTGCATACTCCTGATAACTTGTCGGAGTTCGTCAGCAAACTGTATGGTGAACTCCATCGTCCTAGGAGGGTGCTCGAGTTGCTGATCTGAGACCAGGAAGTCCACAGTCATGCGAGGATTCTATCTATGTTGCGGCTCAGCAGGTGTTCGCAGGGTTGCAGGGTGTGCATAACAACTGTCGTAAACGCCTGCTACGTTGACGAAGTGGAAGTCCCAGTCGATTCCATCAGGCAATATCAGACGCCACAGGACTTTTTGTACGGTCATGTTCATCCGCTCGGTCTAACCATCACTCTCCAGGTGGTGGGCTGAACTGGTATCGAGTTTGGTGTTGACGATTTCCATCAGATTGTTGCATAATTCACTCATGAATCGCGCGTCTCTGTTCAATCGAGGAAAATCCAGAAGCCCATGTCCGACTATTAGTGAAGAGGCGAGCAATCTCCTCTATTGTGGCAGACTTCTCTAAGTTCACGAGTATCAACCTCATGAACTGGTTAGAGCGTCATTCTTCCGCTTGGTCTTCGGAAAAAAAAACATGAAGTCATTAGAGATGGATTTGTCTAGTTTGTCAGGGGTTGGGAGTGGCTTCAGAAGATCATATGCCCTTTGTCCTTTTCGCTTTGCCCATTGACAAATAGTCCAACTCTTCACGTACTCAACGACATCCTTTCTCATCGTGGGTCCATCAAGCCGCTTCAAAAGTCGCAGCCTCGCAGGTACGATTTCTTTAAGCCAAAGTGGCCTTAAGCATCATGACATTCTCCTAACACATCATGATCTAGCCGCAGTTGTCTGTCCATCGGAACACAAAGTCGCATCACCCCTCTGCTCTCTAGTACGTAGACGGAGAGCAGTCCCGTCTGCATAGGATAATCGGGAATGCGATTAGGGTCTGCTTCAAAATTTGCAATTACGGGCTATAGGCAGGGTCTTCGGAGTATGTTGTTGCGATCCTGTCCACCAGCTTATCACTCGTATTCATTTGTGACAGGATTGCTACAAAATGATATTGTTGTCGAGATAATGCAGCGGCCACCCGATTGTGCCTACTCTTCTATAGCTTCGAGTGGAAATCATATTTTTTTATGGTATTGGCATCCTGTACTCTGTAGTCCATGGGCCTTCTCGACTCACCTGCCTTCTTAGGAACGAACAATACAGGTGCGCACCATACGGCGATGAGCTAGGCTTTATCCACCCCTTCTCTGTTAGTTCATCGAACTGTTTCCTCGTCCCAACGTTTTAGGGAACACCCTGTATTCAAAAGACTTTATAGCTGTCCAGATCCAGGGCTCTCCTTCCTCTTGTCCCGGAATTGGCGTCTATCTCCTTGGGCCACAAGTTGGAAAGTGGTGTCCACATCCGTCGGTGAGACGATAATTGTTCCAACCTCTTCCTTCTTGAGGGAAGTAGCCGCCTTTGCCATAGCTCCTCCACCCTGTTGGACGACATATTAGTGCCTTCCTCTCCCCTGGACTACAGGGTCATAGCCATCTCTACCCCCTTCCTAGCCTCCACGACCCTGGCCTCTCCCTTGTCCTTCCTTGCGTGGCACCACAGTTGCATAGTCCCTTCCTTGGCCCATTTGGCCGCCATCTTCGTCACTGCACCACTTTATCTACGAATATGGTAGCTCCTCTTCGAGTCCTCTATTCCTCCTTCCTCACCGGCAATTGCCAGTTCATCTCTTTCCCTCGAATATTAACACGGATGGTTTTCCGGGAACTTTCCCTCA